TCACACCAGAAATCCAGAATTTCACCCCAAAAACACCCCAAAATCTGGGATTTCACCCCAAAAATTCAACATTTCACCCCCAAAATCCGGGATTTCACCCAAAAATCCAGAATTTCACCCCAAAACCACCCAAAAATCCAGAATTTCACCCCAAAACCACCCAAAAATCCAGAATTTCACCCCAAAAACACCCCAAAATCCGTGATTTCCCCCAAAATCCGTGATTTCCCCCCAAAAATCCGTGATTTCACCCAAAATCCGTTATTTTCCCCCCAAAATCCGTGATTTCCCCCAAAATCCGTGATTTCCCCCCAAAAGGCGGGAGTTCCTCACTCGCTGTCGGAGCTGACGATGCCGCGGAGCCGCGACCAGTCCGGGGGGGGCAGCGGCGATTCCGGGGGGGATTTTTGGCAATTTTCGGGGTTCCTCCGGCGGGACCGGGCTGGGGGCGGCGAAAAGAGGGGCGGGGGGGTTGGGAAATGTCCGAATTCGGGGTTTTTTGGGGGTTTTTTTTGGGGTTTTTTGGGGCGTTTTTCCTCACCCGGTAAAATGTTGGCGGCGTCGAGCGCGGCGAGTTCGGCTTTCTCCTCGCGGCGCCGGCGGAGGCGGCGGCAGCGCGCCAGGGAGGGCGTCCCTAAAAACACCCAAAAAACCCCAAAACGTCCCCAAAATATCCCCAAAAAAACCTCCCAAAACGTCCCCAAAATATCCCCAAAAAAACCTCCCAAAACGTCCCCAAAATATCCCCAAAAAAACTCCAAAATATCCCAAAAAAACCCCAAAATATCCCCAAAAAAACCCCAAAGAAACCCCAAAATATCCCAAAAAAACCCCCAAAAAATCCACAAAATCTCCCAAAAAAAACCCAAAACATCCCCAAAATATCCCAAAAAAACCCCAAAATATCCCCCAAAAAAACCCCAAAATATCCCAAAAAACCCCAAAACATCCCCAAAATATCCCAAAAAACCCCTGGGAAACCACGGTTCACCCCCAAGCAGAAATAATAACAAAAATTCCCAAATTTTCCATTTTTTGCCCCAAATCCCCTCAGGAATTCCCCGAATCCCCTCAGGAATTCCTAAAATCCCTGGATTTTCCCCCAAATTCTTTCACAAATTCCCCGAATCCCTGGAAATTCCCAAATTTCCCAGATTTTCCCCCAAATCCCCTCAGAAATTCCCAAATTTCCCGGATTTTCCCTCAAATCCCCTCAGGAATTCCCAAATTTTCCGATTTTTGCCCCAAATCCCCTCAGGAATTCCCAAATTTTCCGATTTTTGCCCCAAATCCCCTCAGGAATTCCCAAATTTCCCGGATTTTCCCCCGAATCCCCTCAGGAATTCCCCAAATTCCTGGAAATTCCCAAATTTCCCGGATTTTCCCTCAAATCCCCTCAGGAATTCCCCGAATCCCTGGAAATTCCCAAGTTTCCCGGATTTTCCCTCAAATCCCCTCAGGAATTCCTCAAATCCCCTCAGAAATTCCCAAATTTCCCGGATTATCCCCTCAGGAATTCCCCGAATCCCCTCAGAAATCCCCAAAATTCCCGGTTTTTCCCCCGAATCCCCTCAGGAATTCCCCGAATCCCCTCAGAAATTCCCAAATTTCCCGGTTTTTCCCCCCAAAATCCCCTCAGGAATTCCCCGAATCCCCCTCAGCTCCCATCGAGTCTCTGCTCGCGCCGGGCCCGTCCCGCGCCCCAGAAACCCCTCGGGACCCCCCGGAACCCCCCGGAACCCCTCGGGACCCCTCGGAACCCGCTCGGAACCCCTCGGAACCTCTCGGGACCCCTCAGAACCCCTCGGAACCCCCCGGAACCCCTCGGAACCTCTCGGGACCCCTCAGAACCCCCCGGGACCCCTCAGAACCCCCCGGGACCCCTCAGAACCCCTCGGAACTCCCCGGGACCCCTCAGAACCCCTCGGGACCCCTCAGAACCCCTCGGAACTCCCCGGGACCCCTCAGAACCCCCCGGGACCCCTCAGAACCCCTCGGGACCCCTCAGAACCCCCCGGGACCCCTCGGAACCCCCCGGGACCCCTCAGAACCCCTCGGAACCCGCTCGGAACTCCCCGGAACCCCTCGGGACCCCCGGGAATGCCCGAATTTCCCGTTTTTTGCCCCAAAGCCGCCGTACCGTGCAGCCCCATGTCGCGCAGGGCGCCCCGCAGCGCCTCCAGCAGCTCCCGCTGGCTCCGGCACTTCCGGAACAGCCGCTTGTAGTTGGGGCGCCACCCGGCGGCGCGGAGGTATCGCTTCAGCCGCGTCACTTCCGGCGTGTCCTGGGGCGGGGCTTCGCGTCAGGGGGGGCGGGGTTTGAGCGAGCCCCGCCCATCCCGTCCAGAAGCGGCGCCAAACGGAGCCGGAAGTTGGGGGATTTGGCGGGAAAATCGAGGAGGAGTTGGCTCGAAATGGGACGGGACAAAATCCCAATAAAATCCACCCAAAATCCAAAAAAAAACCCCAATAAAATCCAAAAAAAAATAAAAAAAAAATCCCAATAAAATCCAAATAAAGTCCCAACGAAACCCCAATAAAATCCAAACAAAATCCCAACGAAATCCCAATAAAATCCACCCAAAATCCAAAAAAAACCCCAATAAAATCCAAAAAAAATCAAAAAAAAAATTCCAATCAAATCCAAATAAAGTCCCAATGAAATCCCAATGAAATCCCAACAAGATCCTAAAAAAATCCCAATCAAATCCAAATAAAGTCCCAATGAAATCCCAATGAAATCCCAACAAGATCCTAAAAAAATTCCAATCAAATCCAAATAAAGTCCCAACAAAATCCAAAAAAAATCCTCCCAAAATCCCAAAAAAACCCCACACAAAATCCTAATAAAATCCCAATAAAATCCCAATAAAATCCCATTAAAATCCCAACAAAATCCCAATAAAAAAATCCCAATAAAATCCCAACGAAATCCCAATAAAATCCCAACGAAATCCAAACAAAATGCCAAAAAATTCCCACCAAAATCCCAATCAAATCCCAATCAAATCCCAATCAAATCCCAATAAAATCCTCCCGAAATCCCCCCGAAATGCCCGAATTTCCCCAAACTTCACCTTCCTCTGCCTCCACCATTCTTCCCCTTCCTCCTCCTTCCGCCTCTTCCTCCCGGACTCTTCCTCCTTTTCCCGGCCCCTTTTCCGCCCTTTCTCCGCCCATTTCGCCAACGGCAAATCCTCAGAATCCTCGGAATCCGATCCTGAATTTTCCCGCCTTTTTTTAGGAATTTTCAGGGGTTTTTTGGGCTCTTCCTCCTCCTCCTCTTCCTCCTCTTCCTCACTCTCCGTTTTCACCTTTTTGGCCTCGTTTTTTCCGGTTTTTTGCCTCCCGTTTTTTCCCGTCTTTTTCCGGCCTGGATCTTCCTCCTCCTCTTCATCCTCCTCCTCTTCATCCTCCTCCTCTTCCTCACTCTCCGTTTTCCCCTTTTTCTCCCCACTTTTTCCCTTCTCCAGATGTTTTTTTCCCGTCTCAGTCCTGGATTTGTCCTTTTTCCCCCCATTTTTCCGGCCTGGTCCCTCCTCCTCCTCTTCATCCTCCTCCTCCTCCTCCTCTTCCTCACTCTCAATTTTCCTTTTTTTCACATTTTTCTCCTTTTTCTTCTCAGTTTTCCCAGCTTTTTTTGCCCTTCCTGCATTTTTTCCTTTTTTCCCCCCATTTTTATTCCTCTCCTCTCCCTCCTCCTCCTCATCTTCCTCCTCCTCACTCTCAATTTTCCCCCTTTTCACCCCATTTTTCCCAGATTTGTTTCGTTTTTCCCCATTTTTTCCTCTTTTCCCCCCGTTTTTCCCCCTCTCTTCCTCCTCCTCTTCTTCATCCTCTTCACTCTCCATTTTCCTTCTTTTTGCCCCATTTTTCCCCCCAATTTTTCCCCTTTTCCCCCCAATTTTCTTCCTCTCATCCTCGTCCTCATCTTCATCCTCCTCATCCTCCTCCTCCTCTTCCTCACTCTCCATTTTCCTCCTTCTCCCCCCAATTTTCCCCGTTTTTTCTCCCTTTTTTCCCTTTTTCGCCCCAGTTTTCTTCCTCTCCTCCTCGTCCTCATCTTCATCCTCATCTTCCTCCTCCTCACTCTCCATTTTTCCCTTTTTCACCCCGTTTTTCCCAGAATTTTTTGGTTTTTCCCCAATTTTTCCTCTTTTCACCCCAATTTTCTTTCTCTTCTCCTCCTCCTCCTCTTCCTCCTCCTCTTCTTCATCCTCATCTTCCTCCTCCTCCTCCTCACTCTCAATTTTTCCCTTTTTCACCCCGTTTTTCCCGGATTTTTTTGGTTTTTCCCCATTTTTTCCCCTTTTCACCCCAATTTTCCTCCTCTCCTCCTCATCCTCGTCCTCATCCTCATCTTCCTCCTCCTCACTCTCCATTTTTCCCTTTTTCACCCCGTTTTTCCCGGAATTTTTTGGTTTTTCCCCAATTTTTCCCCTTTTCACCCCAATTTTCTTCCTCTCCTCCTCGTCCTCATCTTCATCTTC